CGGAAGATTCACCCTGCACCATCTCCTTCGCTCCTGTATGCACTGAGGTTAAAATCACTGGCACCTTGGACAGCACCCCTGCAAGCCCCTCCCAGAATCCAAGGCTCACTGCGTCCTTGAACAAAGGGCTAATGAGCATCTCTAAGTGCCAGACTTGTTCAGCCACCCACACACCCCCTAATCCTGACATCTGAGGATTTATAGCCCCATTTTCCATACCTCAATACCCAGAGACCCAGATGTCAAATAGCAAGGAACAGGGAAGACATTAATAACATTTGCAGCCTTAGTATTCAATTAGATGGGAATGCCAATAACCTAGAAGACAAAAACAAGATTCAAACGGACTCAGACCTCACCCAAACCAGGTGACATGCAGTGGGGGGACATTGTAGGTGTCACCTCCCCCGTGACACCAGTGCAGAGTGGGAAGATTCAGACAGAAGCAGAGCTCATCACCTGAATGTGAGCATGTAGGGCTGTATCATTGAGCACATGGCATGCACTGTTCTGTCTGAGTCATTGATTAAGACCAGAGGGCACTTTGGTCACCACACATGTCACTGATCTCTATGATTGAGTTGATTGATCTGCCTCTGCTGTCTACCCTTTCCTGTCCTCCCAAGCTCTCCTCTGAGAGGGGAGCTGGTTTACAGCTAGCCAGCCCTGGATTGGACGGGTGGCAGTTATCAGTGCCTACCATATGCAGGCCGTAATTCATCCACACGACAACGCTACAAGGTGGACACTGTTGCTCTCCCCCAGTACGGATAGGAAACCAAGGCTTAGAGGGCTAAGTGACTCGCCCAAGAAGACACAGTTAGACAGTGGTGGAGCTGGGCACACACCCAGGCTGTTTGACCCCCCCAGGCTGTGATCTCAACCACTACAATAGTGTGACGAGAACCAAAAGATGGGCCCTGTCCTTTTTGCAGTTAATTTATTGTCAGAAACCAAGGCAGACCAAGTGCAGTGACTCACACCTGTAATCCCAACACTTTGGGAGGTCAAGGCAGGAGGATTGCTTGAGTCCAAGAGTTCGAGGTCAGCCTGGGCAACATAGGGAGACCCTGTCTCTACAAAAAGCTTTTAAAAATATTAGCTGGGCATGGTGGTGTAGGCCTGTAGTCCCAGCTACTTGGGATACTGATGCAGGAGGATCGCTTGAGCCCAGGAGTTCAAGGCTGCAGTGAGCTGTGATAACACCACTGCACTCCAGCCTGGGTGACAGAGCAAGACCCTGTCTCAAAAAAGAAAGAAAGAAAAAAACCAAAGGAGACCTTAATAGATGTCTGGCAGCCTTACTCTCTAATTCCTGCCCAGTGAAAGTGTTTCCAACCCATACTTTGTAACGAGGATAGCTAACCTCTATGGAGCATAGACGTGCTCCAGGCATATGATGAGGGGTTCGCGGATGTTCGTGGATGCTATTCTCATCACAGCCGGTGGGTACTGTCACTCCCATTTTACAGGCAGCCCAGAGAGGTGAAATGACTTGTAGATTTGCTTACCTGAGAAGTACTACAACTAGGGAGGAGCCCTTCCCAAGCCCTGTGCTTCTAACCAATGCTTGAGGCCAATGTGCAAATTACTTATGGCTAGCAATTATATGGCACACAATGTAGGTATTTTAAAAACCTGTATCTTGGGCCGGGCAAAGTGGCTCACTCCTGTAATCCCAACACTTTGGGAGGCGGAGGTGAGGGTATTGCTTGAGGC